ATATATCGCCCTCTTAGCCGGGTGTGGTGGTGCACGTCTGAAGTCCCAGCTACTCCAGAGGCTGAGGCAAGAAGATCACTTGAGGCCAGGAGTTCAAGTTTGCAGTGAGCTATGATGTATGATGATGTCACTGCTATCCAGTCTGAGTGACAGAGAGAGACCCCATCTCTAAAAAAAAGGAAAAGAAAAGAAAAAGAGAAAAGAAAAGAAAAAGAGAAAAGAAAAAAATATATATATATCACCCTAGAAAGAGGTTAGGCACTAAAGTCAGACAGACAGACTTGACTTTGAGTCTTGGCTCTTCCATTTATTGATCTTATGACCTTGGGCACGTGTCCTTTAAACATTTAAAGTCTCAGATTCATCATCTGTAAAATAGGGGAAATAATACCTATGAGGGTGTGTCTTCCTCCAAGGTCTGTAGGACTTGCTTCATTCATTCATTCAAGAAACATTTGTTGAGCCGGGCGCGGTGGCTCACGCCTGTAATCCTAGCACTCTGGGAGGCTGAGGCGGGCGGATTGCTCAAGGTCAGGAGTTCAAAACCAGCCTGAGCGAGACCCCATCTCTACCATAAAAATAGAAAGAAATTAATTGGCCAACTAATATATATAATATAAAAAAAAATCAGCTGGGCATGGTGGCGCATGCCTGTAGTCCCAGCTACTCAGGAGGCTGAGGCAGGAGGATGGCTTGAGCCCAGGAGTTTGAGGTTGCTGTGAGCTAGGCTGACACCACGGCACTCACTCTAGCCTAGGCAAGAAAGCGAGACTCTGTCTCAAAAAAAAAAAAAAGAAACATTTGTTGAATATCCTCCATGGCCAGGCTTGTGTTGGCATATAGAGGTAAGCAAGGACAGCCAGTCTTTTTCCTCCTGAAGGCTGTAACTAGGGTGGCATCTGCCAAATGGGGAAACAGTAAAATTATATCGAGCTTTGGGAGGGTTGTGAGGATGAAACTGGGCAGTACAGTGAAGTGCCGGATCTGAGCTCTTAGTACGCAAACGTCCACTCCCCCTGTTCTGGCACCGTGCGTCTCTCCTGCCGAGGGTCCTTGGCAATACCCCAGGCCCCCTCCTTGCTTCCTGGCTGCCCACATTGAAAGAAGACAAAGCGGTCACCATCCTCTGTCCCCCCTTAGATTATGGACAGAATTGGATGTGTCCCTCATACCAAAACAGAAAGCAACTTCTCAGGATGGGTACGCCGTCCTCCTGCCATGTCCCTGGCAGCATCCCTGAGATATGAAAGGGGCAGAAAACAGCCCGTGCCCCTGCGACAGACATGCTGGGAAGGGGCCCCACCTCCGGGAGAGGCCAGTCTGGGAAGCGTTGGAGCTGAGTCCTGTTTTCGCTGGTGGGTTGAGGGTGGCCAGAGTGTTGCTGGAGACCTGGGTGCCAGAGTTCCGTGTCCCAGGATAATCTGGGATGTGGACACAGTCACTAACCTGCCCCTGGAAGAGCAGCGTGGAGGGGCCGGGAGCCTGAAAGGTGGGAAGGAGAGGGTGGGAGCTTTCCCCACCGCCTGCCCGCCCCCCCACCCCCAAGAATTCCAGCTGGAAGTTTATTCTTCCTCCTGACACAGCCTGAGAGAGGAGTGTCACCTGACCTCAGGGCACATTCCAGAATGAGGCCACAGCCAAGAATAGGACCCAGGAACCCTGCCACCCATCCTGCCTGCATTAATCACACATTCCCCAGAGTCGGAGGGAGGCTGCAGACTGGTGGGTGGGGGAGGAGGAGGAGGAGGAGGAGCAGGTGTCAGGAGGTGGAGCCGTGAAGGAGGGAAGACTCCAGAGAGGCCCCTTCCCAGCCTCATGGGTGTCCAGTGCGATAGCACCGTGTGGCCCTCGGTCCCAGGGTCCTTTGCTCATCCAGCAAAACCCCGTGAGCTGTGCGAGCTGGGCCCACTGCCCTCCTGGAGCCCTAGGCAATTGCTCTGATCTGGATCAGTGCAAGTACAGATACAGACGGGGACAGACTCAGAGAGGAGTGCTCTCGAGGCCCGGGGGACAGCAGAGGCTTCCCCAAGGAGCCGAGTCTTGAAGGATGAGTGGGCGGAAGGCTGATGTCTCGCTAAGGAATCTAGGCCGTGACGGCTTATGTGTGTGATAGAAATACATGTCACACGGCGAGGTCGAGGTCATAAACAGCCCGGGCGGTGTGTGTGCACGGCTCGGAGGCAGGCTCTTTGGAGATATTCGGGTCCTGGTGGGACTTCCCACTGCCTGGCCCGGAGCAGGGCATGTGTGTGTGTGTGTGTGTGTGTGTGTGTGTGTGTCGCACACAAGGAGAAACAGCATAACGTGGGCATCACAAGCCCTGAAGTCAGACGGGCAGGACTCAGGTCCTGGCTCTGCCACTTGGTCACCGGCTGTGTGATCTTCGGCAAGTTTCTCATCCCCTCCAGCCTTAGTTTTCCCACCTACAAAACAGCATTCCGTCTCACGCAGTTGCCGTGGAGACGACAAGCCCTGGTGTCCAGCGCCTGTCACATAGTAAGCACTCACTCATGCTGATGTTGCTCTAACAAGACGATGGGACACAGGGAGTCCTCCACGGCCTGGGGACATCGCCATGACGCTGCGTATTTATTCTCGCCCGTCCCTAGCCAGATTCCAGCCCGAGCCCCTCTCTCCAGCCCCCCTGGCCAGGGGGTGACATCAGACTACAGGGCAGCTGGTGAGATAATGGGCCAGAGTGTCCTAGGAGGCCGGAGGTGGAGAAAGCCAAGCTGTCCCCCCCAGAGGCCCCGGGGCTGGCCCGGAGACAGGCTGCGCAGGGTGGTCTGTGAAGACGCGCACAGACGCATGCACTGGGCGGACGAGAGCAGCAAGGACAAGGACGCGAGGAGGGGAGGAGCGAGTGTCCAGTGCGGAGGGAAGCAGGCGAGGCTGGCTTTGGTGAAGGAGGCTCAATCTCCCTGTGTCCTGGGGCCCAGGCTGGGGCCAAATCTCCCGGGTCTGACTGAGTGAGGTGACCTCCCCACGTTGCCTGGCAACCGGAACCCAGTCTCTCCTTTACTGAGCACCTACTAGACGTCAGGCATTGTATAAGGCCAGGGGTAACAGAGGTGAGGGACTCGGGCTTGGTTTCCAGGATAGAAAAATATATGCTGCCCAGGTGCAGTGGCCCATGCCTATAACCCTAGCACTTTGGGAAGCTGAGGCAGAAGGATGACTTGAGGCCAGGAGTTTGAGACTGACCTCAGTAACAGAGAGAAATCTTGTCTCTAAAACAAAAAAAGAAAGGAAAAAAAAAGAAATGCCATGTAGTAAGTCAGAAGTTAGAGTCTAAGCCACTCATTCCCTAAGTGCCCATATTTTCTGAAGCCCAAGTCAGCCTACGAGGGCACTCAGTTTGGCCTCACGCTGTGAGCAACAGAATAAAGCATCTGAAGCTGTGTGTTTGCTGACGCTGGGAAGCCGGGCACCGAGCATGAGGGCAGGGCTACAGGTCCTGGCCTCCCCCGGCCAAGGGGCTGCTGAGGCTCAGACGGTGCGGCAGCCACCCCGTGCCAGGCTGTTTCCCAGCCTGTCCAGTTTTACAAGGCTAATGGGGTCGAGCTCCCCAAGTCTCTGTAAAGTGCTCTTACTACCTTCTGTTTTACAGATAAGGGAAACTGAGGCTCAGAGAGACAGCAGATAAGTGGCAGGGCCCAGGCAGACCTGGGCGAGTCTGACCCCACAGGCTGGGTTTTCTCACTCTGCCAAGCTGGGGCTGGAGTGCGACAGGGACGCCAGGGTCTGGGGCTGAGGGTGGGCAGTGATCTGGGGAGAGGGACCCCTCAGATGGGATTTTCCTGCACCTCACACCACCACCAGGGGGGCAGAGGTGCGACCTGGCCCCTGCTGTCCTGGCCCTGCCACAGGGCTCAGGGCCTGTCTTTGTGCATGTGGGGTGAACGGGGAGGCCTGCGCTCGTGTGTGGACACTTGCTCCCTCAGGCTCTACAGCAATGTGCTGGACCTCGGGCTAGCAGCAGGTGCAGCCGAACGTCCCCAGGCCTCTAGGGAGGCTGAGGAGACAGTCCTTGCCCTCTGGCTACCTGATCTGAGCAGGGATCACACCATCTTTTTAAAATTTATATATGTTTTATTAGAGACAGGGTCTGGCTGTGTTGACCAGGCTGGAGAGCAGTGGTGTCATCATAGCAGATCACACCATCTTGGTGGCTAAGTTTTGGGCTCAGTGTTCTCCTATTGGCTGCCTGAGAAGCTGCCACTCCTCTGGCCTCTCCTCTCTCAGGGAGCAGCTTGTCTTCCCTCTCCTGGCCCCGTCCTCGTGCCCTCATTGTGGTTGAGATGGGCTGGGCTGGGCCCGGCCTGAATTCTTCCACTGGGCTGGAGCCCAGGAAAACCCAGGCAAGTGTGCAGGGGAACAATGTCTCTTGTAGGGGAAGACAAGCCGTGGGATGTGCCACAGCTGCAGGGCTCCTGAACATGTCTCCAGGGGTGAGGAGCAGGCCCGGGCCACCCTGAGGCCAAAGATGCCGCTGTCCCCATTCACAGAATCAAACGCCATGGCCTGGGCACACCTGGGGCTTTGCTGCAGAGTCCTGCAGGGACCAGGCCCCACCTGGAGGCCCCCAGGGAGTCACAGCCGGCAGCACAGCCCCTGCCTGCCCCACTCCCGTCTCCTCCACCTTCTCACCTCTGAACTCCATGCCATCAGTGGCGGGGTCTGGCCTCTGCACCTGACCCACCGCGCTGTCATAATGGGGTTTGAGCACCCAGATTACAAGCCAGAACTGGTGGGCCTGCGCCCCACCCGGCCTGCCTCTCTGGCCTCTGCTTTCTCGTGCTTAGCTCACACAGCAGCACCGTTCAGGGGCCTCGGAGCTGCAAAATGGGCCTGAATATGAGCAGTGTCCCTCCAGCACCCAAATCTGGTCCCATTGGCCAGACTTCCTTCCCATAGGGAAGGTCACCAAACAAATGACCACTGTCACTACCCCTCCCCGTTCCCTCCCCCACACGAGCCCACAGGAATCACACAGGAAGGGCTGTTGATACTATGAGCTTTTAATCGGTACCTTCCTGCCTATATTTGAGGAAGAAATGAGGATGCCCCGCAATGACCTTCTCTAGCTTTGGAGGGGCAGGGACAGACGCAGGGCTGAGGGGGCGTGGGGGCAGATGCAGGGCTGACAGTGGGGCTCCCAGATCCTCTATCTCGAGGGGGAGTGGCCAGGCCCACCTGGGAAGTCTGGAAACATGAGAAAATCACCAAGGAGCTGCCACATCCCCAAAGCCTCCCTCCCGGGCCGCACCTAGGCCTCGCTGCAGCTCCCAAGGCCACCACCAGATGGGAGCAGCGAGCAGTGTTCCTCTCCCTCCGCAAGCCTGCCTCCCCTCTCCTGTTCCTCCACCGCCCCTTCCCGCCTGCTTTTCCTCTTCCTTTATTTCTCTTGCCACCAAACCAGGTCCCGGGGCTTCCATCCGCTTTACACGCAGTGGCCTATGAAAGCACACCGCCCATCGAATGGACACGTGGAGCTGGGGGGCCAGCCACGGGGCTGCTTCTGGGGGACCCCGGGATCAGGGCGTTTGTGCTCGGGTGCCCAAAGCCGGGCAGCGACTGACAGGAGTCTGTGGTCCTAGCACCTGGCACCCAGTAGGTGCTCAGAGAATGTCCACTGGGTTGAACTGAACACCATGGAATCAACAAACCAATGCAGCCAAGAGGAAGGGTGTGTTCTGCCAGTGCTGCCCTGGCCTGAGACACAGGCTGAGCACCCAGAGCCACCTGACCCAGCAGCCTCCACTCAGGGCAGTTGATTGGCGGGTTGGACTATGGCTCTGGCTTCCCACCGCCCCTACCTCTGACACCAAGTGGTCTCTGCTCACAGTGATCTAGGGGGCTGTGGGGAATTTGTGCCGAGAGTCCCTGGGCCCCATCTCCTCCCACCTGCCCCTTTGCAAGCCCTTTCATTCACCTGCTCCTGTAAGCGGCACCCAGCGGCCGCCTCCTGAACCCTGGCTGGGGCCTGGCTGTGGGCAGGTGGCTGGGAGAGCCAGGGCTTGGAGGTGGCAAAGGGAGGAGGATGCCTGAGCACACTGGTCATCAGGAACAACCTACATGTGTCTACTAACTTCCCCTTTTGTCCCCTTCAGCTGAAAAAGTGGACCCTTTATAGAACCCAAAGACTAGAAGCTGATCTGAGACCCGCCGGTGGCTTTTTTCCGACCTGCTGATGGGTGCTTCCCTGCCGGCCCACGACTGTCTGAGCTGCCCTGGCCCAGGTTGCTGACTGGGGGCATGGGGGGGGTAGGTGGGAGAGGGCCAGGAAGGGGCCAGGGAGGGGTGGGGGCTTCAGTGCAAGCCCAGGAACTCCTTGAGGACGTCGCAGGTCTTCTTGTGCATGACCTCGCGGAGCTTCCTGACCCGCCGTGCGCTGGACGCGCCCACGAAGCTGTCGGGCCGCAGCATGGCCATGCCGCCGTCCACCTCGCCCATGATGATGAGCGGCGTCTCGCCCACCGTCACGTTGGGGCAGGGGCAGGCCCAGTCCACGTGGAGCAGCGTGACCTCCAGCGGCTCCCGGCCCAGGAACTTGAGGCCCATCTTCTCGTCCTTCAGGACCTCGTCCACCGTCACCAGGGCACGGCCCGAGTCGGGCTCCTCGGTCAGCTCAGACACCCGGCCCAGGATGACGAAGTCGCTCCGACAGAAGCTGGTCACGAGCTTCTGCCGCGGCTTGCAGGCCCGACAGCGCTGGTTGCCCCGAGGGAAGGGGCACGACTCCTCGCAGGCCTCTCGGCTCTCAAAGTTGTTGCCGTTGCCCTCGCAGCCGCCGTAGACGAAGGACTGGCACTGGCCCGTCTGGCTGTTGTAGGCCCAGCGGGGCGCATAGGCCTTGCAGGGCCCCTGCAGGGCGGGCAGGCTGCAGGCGGCCAGCGGCCCGCTCATGCAGGCCAGCACGCAGGCCTCGTAGGTCTCGAAGTGGTTGAGGTTGCGGTGGCAGTGGCCAAAGGTGAAGGTGAGGCAGTCGTTGGCCTGGGCGTCGAAGTGCCAGCGCGTCTGCTCCTCGCCGCAGTCCTCGCTGTCAGGCGGCTGCAGGCACTCGGCGGCCGGAAAGGCCGTGCCGTTGGGGCTGCTCTCCGAGGTGGCCGCGGCCTGACCCCCCCTGACCACCGACAGCGGGAAGTCGGCCCTCAGGACCCCGGCGGCATTCCGGGCCATGCAGGTGTAGATGCCAGCGTCCTGGGGCTGCGCGTTATAGATGACCAGCTGGGCGATGTTGGTGACCACCACGTTGCCGCGCACGTGGTTGGGCCGCAGGACCACGTTCTCCCGGTCCTCCAGCTGCTTCTCCCAGGTGATCTCGGGCCGGGGCCGGCCCACCACCTCGCAGAGGAAGCTCACTGTCTCGCCCACCGTGACTGACTGGTGCACGGGGTGGCTGAGCAGGGCTGGGGCCACCATGTCCAGCCCGGGGGTCTCCGGGGAGGCCGTGGTGGGGTGCACGGTGGTCTCAGGCGGCAGGGGGCTGGTGTTGGGCCAGGTGAAGTGGTAGCGGCAGGTGACAACGGCCAGCGTGATGCCCTTGGAGCAGGCCTCGGCGTCCATGTAGCAGCGGTTATAGTAGGTGAGGCCGTCCGAGGCGCAGGTAAAGCTGGGCTCCTTCTCGCAGCGGTCTTTGCACTTGCACACGGGCTGGCCGTCCCAGATGTCGCACTCGGAGCCCTGCTGCAGGCACATGAAGTGGTCGCACGTGGCCTCCTTGGGCATGCCCACGGGGCCCTTCTTCCCTTTCACGTCCATGTAGCGGGCCGCCACGCAGCTCTTGGTCCCGCACACGTTGGGGCAGCACTTCTCATAGGTCTCACACTCCTGCAAGAGCCAGAGAGAGGCCTGAACAGGGAGGACGGGGGAGAGGGGACGGGGCTCCCTGCGCGACGGTTTGTGGGGAGGGACACTAACGTGCTCGCCATCCAGCGTGGGCAGTGACACTTGATGCTGATCCCGGCTGATGCCTGCATGGCATCGACTGTGTTCTGGGCCCTCGTCTAAGAACTTGGACATCTGTCAACTTACTATGCTCATCACCAGCCTGGTGGGTACAGCTACTAGCCTTACTTTACAGATGGTGAGGACTGAGGCACAGAGAGGTTCAGGAACTTGCCCAAGGTCACATAGCTAGCAGTGTGGGAAGAGGCGGGCCACAGATCTCTAACAGGGGAAGTTTTCCTATGATCCTTTCACCAAGGCGAATGCAGAGGTGACCCCCCAAAGACAGGGGCCCCGAGCTCCCAGTGGATGGGATGCTGCAGTAGCATGCTTTTCCTCCACATCTGAAAGTGAGGCCTAGTTGAACAAGTGAGGCTGCCCTTTTTGTCGTTTCTCCAATGGGGTGAGGATGCCCTGCTGACTTGAAGGGTTCACAGCAGATGCCAAGAAGGAAACACCCCGGGACAGATGTTCCTGGCTGTCGTCCCTCTCCCCACTGGAGGAGACCAGCACACGCATGAGGACCAGAGGCTGTGACAAGGGCCCAGGTTTGCCCAAAGCCAAGAGTGAAGGCAGGTGAGACGGGCCCCGGGACGCCAGGTCTGCACCAGACCCGGGCGCTCAGCTCCATGTGGGACATTTCAGGGGGAAACAAGAAGAAAAGTCCTCTTGTGTGGCAAAGGTCAGCGGGGACTTGCCAGGCCGTAATCCCCTCTGATTTTCTGTGGAGCCACGTAAGGCATTAGTTTAATTCCTCGAAATTAGCACCATGCTTGTGGAGCCGACACAAACAAGGATCTCACGTGGTGTTTTCGACAAAAACACATCGTACCCACGGGGCAGGCAGGCAGAGCTCCTAATCCTCCTCCAGGTAGTAACTCTGTGAGTTACTCCCCACCAGGGCTGGCCTCTCGTCATTCCAACTTTTATTTCAGCCTCTTTGACATTCCACATCAGCTAAGAGGGGGAAATGCCCCCGCCCCGGCCGTGTGCCTGCCTAGCTTGTTTACTGCATTACCCCTTTTGGCTCAGAATGGGGACTTTGTTTTGCAGCCCTTGTTTGGCATAGGCTTCCAGGCCACACCAGGGGAGGCTGGGGACAGGGATGGGCAGCTCGCAGAGCGGGCGTCCAAGGGAGAGGGCCTGCAGGGAGGTGAGGGCAGGAGGGAAAGTGGGAGCAGGAGAACCCGCCCTCGGCCTGCCCAGCATCTGGTTCCTAAGACACTGGCCCAGACAGCTCCTTCAGGACCTGGAGGTCCATGAGAGGCTGGGTTCTCCGGGCACAGGAAACCTGGACTGATCCTTAGAACACTTCTGCTCCAGGGCCAGAGTGTCCCCACAGGCTGGCTGCATCCTCAGCCCACACAGGTGCCTCCACCCGAGACACAGGACCAGCCAGAGTCCACTGTGCCCAGGCCCCACCTGGCTTAGTAGGCCAGCCCGCGCCAGTGAGACAGGCTTCCCTGTGACCACAGCCAGGTAATGGCACGATCCTAGCTGGGCGGGAACAGCCGCCACCCCTCCCCAGTACTTAGCCCCCTTTCCCTCGGCACCCATGTCCGCTGGCAGCATCTGGCCTGAGAGGCCTGAGCACGGTCCCCTCTGAACTGTCTCTGGGGCAGCCCTGTGCTCTCCTGCGGGTGACCAGCACCTACAGGAGCACTAGGGTCTCACGTTCCCTGGGGATGGCAGCCCAGACCTGGAGCCCCGAGAGACTGTGTGCTGTCCTCAGAGCTGGCCAGGTCGGGCAGGAAGCGGCCCTGCCCGGAGCAGGTGCAGGTACCGTGGCCCATTGCCCCTGGAGGGGGGCGGGGGTGGGCAGGAATGACCACTGGGAATGACTGGGAATGACTGGGAACTGGGAGGGGACTGCCCTGGAGCCGGCCCAGCCCTGCTGCAGTGTCCTCTGATGGGGAGCAGACAGCTGCATGGAGGAACCTGGGAGGCTGACACTTAGTCCCATTCCTTCCCAGGGCACCTGAGGGACTACGGAGAACAGTTCATGCCCGGCCTACCATCAGCCTGGTCTGCTCTCAGGGTAGGGTCCAAGCCCCTGGGGAGGTGGCCTAGAGGCCACGAAGCCTCAGCTATGTTGTCAGAGGTGGGTTCTAAGCCCAACCTGCCCTCCCTGCACGGCTCTGCATTCCACTCGCACCTACGGGTGGTGCGTGTTTGCTGACACGCGTGCCAGTCCCCACTAGGTGCCTGCCCCGGCGCTGGCTCACAGCAGCCCTCGCAGACAAGGAGGAATCCTCGGCTTCCCGGTCCCTGATGAACTTGGACATCTCTTCTGCCTCTTTGCAGGCCTGGGTGTGAACAGACAGGCATCGTGCCCTGTTTATGTCTGGGTGGACAGGTCTGTGTTCCTTTGCGTTCCTGGTCCTGCAGGGCACTACCGAGCCGTCCCCACCCCACAGCCCCGCCCGCCTCACTAACGCGCTCACGTGGTCCACTCACCTGGTCCGTCTCACACTCCCGCTTGCAGGTGCTCTGTGCATCCACCCAGAGGTTGGGGTTCATGTCGTTGGGGCAGATGCCAGCGTGGGAATAGCGGATGGGCGGCAGCGCCAGGCCTCGAGCGGGTACCCCGAGCAACAGCAGCAGCAGCAGCAGCGCTGCCACCTGCTCCCAGCGGGACCAGGACCGGCGGCACCCCAGGGCCCACATGCTGCGGTCTATGGTGGCTGGAGACCTCCCCTGCAACAGCGCCAGGGGCTGGGGGCCACCAGGGCCTCCTTCTCGCGGGCTGGAGACACCTGCCCTCCCCACCCCAGCAGGCTTCCTTGCTAAGGCTGTGCTGAGGCTGCTGCCGCCGGCTGCCTCCACCAAGTCAGTGCAGCCTGCTGGGCCGTGCGGCTTCAGATAAAAGAAAGGTCTTTGGAAAGAAACTCCCTCTCCTGAGTGTGCAGGGAGAGGAGCCGCAGCAGGGGCCCCGAGCCTGGATTTATATCCTGGGCGCGCCACCCGAGTGGGAGCAGGCTAACCTGATGCCTGTCACAGGCAGGCTGCTGGCGCCTCTGTCCCGTGGCTGATCACAGACTTATTGCAGAAGGGGAAAAAAAAAGCTGGAAGCAGTTTAGGCAGCGTATCTGGCACGGTGGGACACCTGCTTGTTTTTGACTCCAGGAGGCCTTTAACCCCTTCAAGGGCCAAAAATGGCATGTGCTTTAGGGGGAGCTGGCTTCGGGACACGCAAGCTCGCTGTAAAGAAGGGTTTGTTTCCCTTTCCCCCCGCCCGCTCCTTGGGGCTGGGCCCCCTCCTCCCCTTTAGCCACCTCTAAAGAACACACAATCACTTGTTACAAGGAGGGACCTGCAGCCACCGGTTAGCATCGCCCGGCACGATTGTACATTTGAGAGCAAATGACGTGGAAAAACAACAAGTTCACGGTCATTCCAGGGCGGGCCTGAGCCGCGCCGCGCCGCTGTGCCGTGTAAGCCGACTCCCACCCCAGCCCCAGGCTCCTTTGTGGGGGGCGTGCACACGGGCGCTCGCCTCGCATCTCTACGTCCCGGGCAGTTGTGGCTTACGATCCAACTTCGGCGACTGTTCCCCAAATCATTCCAGAGACACATACCAGATATGCTCCGGCTCCCCCGGCTGCCGGGACGTATCACATTCCTCACTCCTCCATCGGCACACTTGTCGGCTCCAAGAAACCTCCGCGGCGGCAACAGTGTCTCGGACTGCTCTGCACGGCCGAGCTGCCCTCCCCGAGGACCACCGCGCCCTTTTCAGGGGGCTGCTTCTGAGTGCCGGGGCTCTGCAGGTGGCATCCCATGTCCCCACTCCGCAGAGGAAAAGGTCTGTGGCAGAGGAGGGCAAGCGACCCGCCCAAGGTCACACGCAGCAAGCGGTCATAGTGACACCGGCGCTAACACGCACTGGGCTCCCAGCACGGGCAGGGTCTCTGTGCACATCACAGCAGGCGGCACCTCCTCGGCAGGTGGAAGAAAGGACCTGCAGAGGAGCTAAGCACCCTGCCATTATCCAGGAATGGGGACACCAGCTTGCTGGGTGTGGGCAGGGGCCTTGCAGAGCCCCCACCCCTCCATCTGTCAGAGCTGCTGTCAGGCACAGCCCAAACGCTGGTTTGTACAGACCGGACAAGCAATTTTTGAAACATCAAGGGCAATATTTGTGGAGGGGGCCAGGAAGAGCGCCAGAAGCTGCCAGGGGCCGGGGCGAGCGCTCCCCCCGTGGCAGGAAATGGCTTGCATCTAAAATGCCACGAGCAGCCAGCAGGCTGAGTGTGTTTGCGGTGGTCATTCAATCCTGGGTGTGGGAGGCCGGTACGGAGAGAGCCCCGGGAGAGAGAGGGACCTTGTCAAGGCCAAACCGCAAGGGACTTGGGGAGCTGCCATGTCCCAGGGGTAGCAGATGGGTGGGCACCCCACACGTCAGAGCAGGAAAGGATCTCGAAGGCCCGCGGCCATGCGCTCGTTGCACAGATGGGGAAACTGAGGCCTGAGCCCAGGCCTCACCCCACCCCCCAGGTCTGCCTTCCCCTTCAGGAACAAAGCTCACCATCTAATGTGACTGCAAAAAGCCAACAGGATCCTTCTTTCCACCTACAGACCTTTCCTCTTCCCAGCTGGGTGGTGTGTTGCCTTCTCCCTGCCTGAGCCGCTTCCTTCCCGTTGTGCGGGGCATTCTGCAAGATCTGTCTTTTCTGTTTATGTCGAATCACTAATGAAGGGTGTCAGATCCTAATCCTCTAAATTATTGGAATAAACTTCCCTCCGAGGCTGGTCCCAGTAATGAAGCCAGACAGCGGGCGACGCCGGCTGCTTTGAATTCCCTGTAATTTCATAAACCCGTGTTCCAGCTGCTCGGAGCAGGGGCCTCAGCAGGCTCTGGAGCAACGTGGTTTGCGCAGCCTCCTGTGATATCACAAAGGGAAATGGACAGTGACACATTTCTAAGCAGGACTTAGAAAAACCGTCACAGCCCCATTACTCAAGGACAAGGATCCAAGGAGAAGAGGCTGATTTCTGGGGAGCCCCTCGAGAGCAGGGAGGAGGTGGGAGAGGGGCAGGCTCAGAGCAGGTGGGGGGAGCGTGCGGGAGGGGCAGACGCAAGGGAAGCCGTCCATCCTGCCTCCCCCAGCCCGGTCCTGTGGGGAGCCCTGGGCCTCTCCTTCCCGGGCCCCATTCCTGGCCACTGTGCTCTGAGAGCTCTCAAAAGAACATCAGGGAAGACAGGGGCCCTAGAACACTCTGCCTCTCCCTCTCAGCCCTTCCAAGTCTCCCACCAAAACACGGCTCAGAATAATAAATAACATCTGATCAGGGCCCGGAGCCCACGCAGTGCTTTCACCTGCACCGGCCCCAGGAGGTAGGGAGCTCTGCTGTGCGCGGGAGAGGAAACCGAGTCACAGGGAGGTTAGGCTGGGCCCACCCAGGCCCCCACAGCCTCCCCTGCCTGTCCCCAGGCCCGTGCTGGTCACACGCCCCACCCCATGCAAACTTCCATCCCCTCCAGAACCCCCAGCCCCTGCTGGCCACCCTGCCCCGCCCGGCTTGTTTATAAGCTGCTCTGGGAGCCCTTTGAAGTCTCCTCCTCCTGGGCCCTCCCTCGCAGAGGCTCTGGCTCCCTCTCCCGTCCGTGTGTCTGTCTGACTGTCTCCCACATACTCTTCCCTGGTGGCTAGCATGGACCCCACCCTCAGCAAACCAAGGGTGGGCTCCGCTGGGGTGGCTCGGTGGCCCACTCCCACTGTCCACTGGGCCTCCCCTGCTCAGGCCACCGGGGCAGGGGTCTAGCCCACCTAAGGGTGTCCCCTGCCTTTCACCCTTTTCCCAAGGACATTGGGCACAGCTCAGTCTCTCTTGCCACCCAGGGTGAGAGGTCAGAGGGCAGGACTCTGAGCTGTCTCAGAAGAGCCCCTCTTGCCTTCACCACTGTCAGAGGGTGGGGGCACCGTGGACCGGTCACAGCCTCCAGGGTGGGGTCAGGCCCTGCTCTAGGTGCCAAGGCAGGAGGTCATGCCCAGACAGTGAACTCTATGTAACCCTGACCTCAGGTTCACCCTGAGCACATTTCCTGAGCCACTAGGGTCTTGACAGGACAACACAGTTAATACCATTTCCCAAAGCTGCTGCACACACGACAGGGACACACAGAGTCCCAGAGATGCCACTTCACTCACGCACAACCAAACCTCTTACCTCTCGCCACACCTGCTCCCTCTGCCTCCATTTTCTTTCTTTCCACAAGCGGGTTTTTTTTAAAGCACCTACTGTGTGCTACATTCTGGGCACATAGAGATCGACAAAGGTCTTCGTCAACAGAGTCTAGCTGGAAAACAAGTACGCAAAAATGGTAGGAAGAGTGAACGCTGGGATGGAGGCCCTTACAGTGCTGGGGGGAGAGGACGTGACATCAGGTGGGGGCCGAGACTGAGCAGAAGACGGCAAGCAAAGGAAGGAAGCAGTTTCCTCCACCTCTCCCTGGAAAGGCCTGGCCACAGCACAGCCTCCTCGGCCAAGGCCCTCCCTCCACAGGGCCCAGGCCTCCGGAAAGGGGAGGCCAGAGGGAAGTCGGCAGGTAGGAGCCGGGGTGGGGACGGGCACTGCACAGGTGGCCCCAGCAAAGTCGCACCAGCAGCCCACTCTGGCCTGCCCTGCTCGGGCCCCAGACGTAAGGCAGCCATACTTTCTACCAGGTGCATGGGGGAGGCCAGCCCCCTGGGGGCCCTTCCTGCCTGGTCTTGGTCATTTAAACTTGTTTGGGGAGGAGGAAGGATTTGAGGAGCAGGAATTGAGGTGCTGGGAAGAAGGAAGTCCTGGGAGAGGGTGCTGGACGGGCAGCCCCAGCTAAAGCAGTGATTAGTCAGAGCCGAGCCAGGGAATTCAATAAAGCTAGCAGCTCATTACCCAGCTGGGGACCCCCTGCCCGCGCGGCCTCTGCCGGGTTACATTACAGGGCTGTGTGAACTCTCCCCTCTGAGTGAGGCTGCACCGGGCCTTGGAATAATTATGGGGCCTCAGCAGATGGTGGAGGCGGATGGGGGAGGCCTTCAGCTGTGGGGCACGTGACCCGTCAGCATCTGTGTGGAACAGGACATGGGAGTGTCCTCGCTGAGCCGGGGCTTGAGGGGGCGTGCTGAATTAAGGTCTGAGAATCGTGGGGTTGGCGGGGCTGGAGCACAGCCCAGCGCCCCCAGCCAGCTGGGCCTCCTTGGAGACCCCCGCCCAGGCCAGGAGGGCCCACTGGTGGGGCTGAGCCCCTGGGAGCTGGCGTGTGGCGTCTGGGGGCGTCTGTGTGTCATGAAGCAAGAGCAGGAGGCACACTTCTGTTATGGCGGCACAACGCTAGGCTCCTTTGCGCACTCAGACGTCCTCCTGGAGGATGTCGGGCTGCGTCTCCACCCACTCGGGAAGCTCTGCGGTGCTTGGGCTGAGCCCCGCGCAGGGCGCCAGGAGGCCCGGGCCCTCACTGGGTCTGCCGTCACCTCCCTGTGGGACCCCCTCTGTTTCCCCAGCTCAGGCCCCTTCCAGTCCGGACTCCTCCCGCTTTGCCTCGGTGGAATCAGCTTCAAAAAGCCCCACACAGCTCCCAGCCAAGACAAACACGGTGCGCAGGAGCCAGAGGCCGCAGGGCTGTGTGGGCCCCACCGCTGCGCTCTGCTGCGGGATGGCAAAGGCCGGCTCTACTCCCCACGCCTGGGGCTCAGCAGAGGCCCACAAACAGCCACATGGCCGCCCTCCTGCGCTGGTGTCCCCGTCCTAAAGGCTTCCCCCGGCTACTCAAGGCCGTGCTCGTTGGTTCCTGCCCCCTGCCTCAATCCTTTCTTCTTCCTTTGGATGAGAGAGAACAAGAGGGTCCGAGACTCGGGGTCTCTCTGCTTGCCTGCTTGCTGCCGGGCAACATGGCACATGCTCTCTAAGGCCAGGCACGTCCTCCACACTCACCCAACAACACAGATGTGCAACTGTGTGTGTGTGGGGGGGTGAGAAACAGGTTTATTCCAAGACTGGCTTAGAGATGGCTTCCCTATGCCTTCAAGATGAGGCCAAAGCATTTACCTGGGCCACCATGGATTTCTGCCTCAGTTTACTTCTCCAAGCTTATCAGGCATCCCTCTCATTCTCAAACTCTGGCAAATGCCACAGTGCTCTTTCAGGTCTTTAAAATCTCCACACCGTCTTGCCCCTCCAGCCTCTCACACAACATTGTCCTCTGGCGGATGCTCTCCCCCTCCCGGCTTGTGCCATCTTCTCTTGGCCAACTGCTGCCTGACCCATTTCAAGCTACATCTCTCAGGAGACCTTCCTGCCCTCAGACGGGGAGGAAGACCAGAGCCACTTCCCATCTTCAACGTTCCTGGTAGAGTTTTTAAATGACAAAGCAAAACAAAAACAAAAAGCCACAACTGGGTTACAAACTGTGCGACAAAATTTAAGTGTTCAAGGTAGTGAGTTGACGGTAGTCCCCCAAAAGATATATTCACTTCCTAACCCCCAGAACTTGTGAGTGTGACTGTATTTGGAAAAAGTTCTTTGCAGGTGTGATGAAGTTAAGGATCTTGAGATGAGATCATCTGGGATCATCTAGGAAAGTGGTCCCCAAACCTTTTGGCACCAGGGGCCAGCTTCATGGGAGACAATTTTTCCACGGACTGGGGTGGGGTGGGATGGGGTGTGGTGGTCAGGGGGTGTGAAGCTCAGGTGGTGCTATGCACCACCCCTTCCCTAATAAGCCACAGACTGGTACCAGGCCGTGGCCCAGAAGTTGAGGGCCACAGATCTAGGAGGTCCACCTAGATAAGCCCAATGACAGGTGTCCTTATAAAAAAAAAAGGCAGAGATGGATTTGAGGCACAGAAGAGGAGAAAGCCATGTGGAGTTGGAGGCAGAGACTGCAATGATACAGCCACAAGCCCAGGGACACCTGAGCCACCAGAAACTGCGGGAGGCAGAGCAGGATCACAAGCCTTTGGAGGGAACGTGGCCCCACTAACACTTAATTTCAGATCTCTAGCCTCCACAACTGTGAAATCGTAAATTTATGTGTTTTAAGCTAGCGGCCCCCAACCTTTTTGGCACCAGGGCCCGGTTTCGTGGAGGACAATTTTTTCTCAGACATGGGAGGCGGTGCTCAGGCAGTGATGCCAGCCATGGGGAGCGGCTGTAAATACAGATGAAGCTTTCCTCACTTGCCCACCACTCACCTCCTGCTGTGCATCCCCCTTCCTACGTTTCACGGAAGACAGTTTTTCCACGGGCGGAGAAGGGGAGCGGCAGAGCTCTGAAGCCCAGTCCCTAACAGGCCATGGACCAGTACCGGGACCGCAGTTTTAAGACACCAAGTTTGTGGTAATTTGTTAAAGCAGGAAATGAATGAATGGGAAATGAATTACACCCTAGGAAGTGAATACACCTGTCTAAAGCTCTTCAGTGGCCCTTCCTGGTCATGATTAAATGGCACAACCACTACAACCTGCTTCTTTTTTGTTCCTCCTAAAAATGCTCAGTGATTGCTTCACTGGGGTGTGTTCTCTTTTCTGACAAGCTGATAGACTCAATGCTTGTTTTTTTTTTTTTTTTGTTTTTTTTTAAACTATGTTTGTTGTTGTTTTCCTCTTTAACAGAAACTGAGGGGCAAGATGGTCTCAAAGAACTCTTACCAGCAGCACCTCACCAGCAGGACCGCCACCCAGTGGGACTTGGGTGGCCTGAGCCGTTGAGAACTGGACTCAGCCATTGGAAGCCTTGGTCCGTCCCTCGGGGCAAGAGGTGCTGGTGGCGCAGGACAAACCCTTAGGAGGCAGGCACTGGACAAGAGATGGAGCCGTGCCGAGCCCACCTTTACGCTGTGACCCTTGGGGAAGGAAAGTCCTCTGTGGCAGAGGCTTTCAAGTGTTTGGCTGCAACAGATAGAAATACATTTTTCATTGGGATTCAGTCCACATAGTCACAGGAATCGCTGAAACAAGTTTCACAAAACCACGGTTGCCCTTTCTACACGTGGTACACTCTTTAGTATTCTAAAAGTTGAGGATCATTTGGGGAGGTTGGGAACAGCCAAAGGCCAGGGTTTGGGGGGCTTTTGTTGTCCCCATTAGGGTTCCTGGACACAAGGTTAGTATACGAATGTCAATTGCTTTCCTTTTTACCAGCAATGAATGATTGGAACGTAAAATTAAACAGACAAAACCATTTATATTAACCTCAAAAAAAACAAAATGAAATACCTAGGTATAAATCTGAAAAATATGTACAGGATCAATATGTGAAAAAACTACAAAGCTCTGATGAAAGACATAAAAGAAAATCTACATATATGAAGAAATGTTCCATGTTTATAAATTAAATGATTCAAAATTGTTAAGACGTCAATTCTTCCGAACTTGATCTATAGATTCAACACAATCCCAATCAAAATGCCAGCAAACTATGGTGTGATGCTGGCAAAATGATTCTAAAGTTTATATGGAAGGGCAAAATACCAGAATAGCTAACACAATACTGAAGAAAAATAAAGTTGGAAGACTGACATCACCCAACTTCAAGACTTACTATAAAGCTACAGTGATGAAGACAACATGGTATTGGTGAAAGAATAGACACATAGATCAATGAAACAAAAGAGAGCCCAGAAATTGACTCATACAAATATAGTCAACTGATATGTGACAAAGGAGCAAAAGCAGCTCAATGGAGAAACGATAGTCTTTTCAACAGATGGTGCTGGAACAACCGGTCATCCATATGCAAAAAAAAAAAATGTCTAGATATAATAGACTTTACACCTTTCACAAAAGTTAACTAAAAATGGATCAAAGGTCAGACACAAACCCTTTTTCTTTTTTTTTTTTTTTCCTGTTAAATTCATTGCAAATTGTTGTGGCTAGATCATTTAAACAAGCTGAAAAAGAAAAAAAAAATGGATCAAAGGGCTAAGTGTAAAATATAAAACTATAAAATTTCTAGACTATCACACAAGAAAAAAATCTAGGTGACCTTGAGTTTGGCAGTGAGTTTTTAGACACAAGATCTTCCCAAAACATGATCCATGAAAGAAAAAAGTGATAGGTTACTTCTTCCCTGAAGACATTGTTAAGAGGATGAAAAGACAAGACACAGACTGGGAGAAAATATTTACAAAACACATATCTGATAAAGGACTTTTATCCAGAATATATAAAGAACCCTCAAATCTCAATAATAAGAAAATAAACAACCCAGTGAAAAAGAGGTAAAAGATCAGAACAGACACCTGACCAAAGAAGCTGCACGAATGGTAAATAAAAACCCAGCCATACTGAGTGCTGACAAGATGTGGAGGGACTGAAACTCTTACGTGCTGCTAATGGGAAAATGAGGGCATGGCATACCATTGTAAATGGTACCGCTTGTAAAATTTCAAAAAATGCTTGTTAAAAAATAAAGCATATTAATACATCTACCATTCTACTCCTGGATATTTACCCAAGAGAAATGAAAGGACATAGTCATATAAAACTTGAACATACACAAGTTTTGTGTATGTTCTGGCTGTTTATTTGTTTCTGGCTGTTTATTTGTAACAGCCAGAAACTAGAAAGAACTTCAAAGTCTCTCCACAGGTAAATGTTTAAACAAATTGCAATATACCCATACATTAGAATACAACTGAGCAATAAAAAGGGACAAACTACTGATGCCTGCAACAGTAGGAATGAATCTCAGAATAACTATGCTGAGTGAAAGAAAACAGACCCAAGAGTACACTTTTAACGTGTGCAGCACACTGTTTGTCAGTTATACAACAATAAATCTGTTCCTTGAAATGCCACGCTCCGCCCTTATCTATGAGACCCTGCCTCTTCGGACCCTACCCAGGTTCTTTGTCCTCGTCCTCCCTGCTATAGTTTGGACCCTTCAAACCTCACATTGAATTTTGATGCCCGGTGTTGGAGACGGAGCCTGGTGGGAGGTGTTTGGGTCGTGGGGGCAGGTCCCTCATGAATGGCGTGGTGCCCTCCTCCTGGTAACGAGTGAGTGCTCACTCTGTTAGTTCCCAGGAGAGCTGGTTGGTAAAAAGAGCCTGGCACCTCCCCTGCCCTCGCTTCCTCTCTCACCACGAGATCTCCGCACACACCAGCTCCCCCACTCCGTCCGCCAGGAGCAGAAGCAGCCTGAGGCTCTCACCAGATGCCCGGTCATCCAGCCAGCGGGGCCGTGAGCCAAGCCCAGCTTTTTCCTTACAAATGACCTGGTCTCTGGCATTCCTTTGTAGCAACACAAACAGACTAAGACTCTCTCCTCCTCTCCTCCCGCTGTGCCGCAGCCTCGTTGGCCTTCCCTCTCACGCATAAAAGGTAAAACGTGTGCCCTTACCTCAGGGCCTTTGTACATGTGTTCTTTCTGCCCCAAGTACTCTTCCCATAATGGCTTCTTCATTCAGTCTCAAAGACTGTTCTCGCCTCCTTGTCCATTGCTGTCGCACACACACACACACACACTCACACCCAGATTGTTGCCACCTTCTTCTCCCTGAGCCACTTTACACTTCATCCTGCTTTATTTTCTTCATAGCACTCACCATTGTATCAGCTGAAGTTCTTTTGGCTGCAAAAACAAGTAATGGAACACCCACCCAAAGCATCTCTCCTATCAAGGAGTCAAAGAATAAGTGGTGTCAGGGCTGCTTCAGTGGCTCAATGACACTAGGGCCTTTCTGAGATTCTCTTGACCTTCTCCTCATGGTCACAAAATGGCTGCCGTGACTCCAAGTGCTCCCATGACAAGGTTCAAAGGCAAGAAGGAAGAGAAGGCACACCTTCTAATGGCAGAGGCCATTAGTGCACATCAATTATCCAGTGCCCTCTACTACATTTCCCAGCCTCCCTTGCGGTTAGGTTGAACCCCTGTAACTAGTTCCAGCCCAAGGACTGTGAGTGGAAGTGATATTGGTGGGTGGAAGCCCTTAGCAGGGGTTCAAGGTCTTTACACTTGCCTGATCCAAGCTCCCATGCTGGTGTTGCTGATGCCTCCAAACTCTTCACTCTCCAACTAATTTTAAGGTTATAGGATGTATATGAAATAAAAGATGATGATAAAGAGAAACAACCGTTGCTTTGCCCAGGAATCTGTCTGACCATGGGGCACGCTCTCAAGTTAGAACTGTTAGCCCTAAAGTGAGCAATCATAGACAAGCTCTGGGAGTGTTCCTATGAGAAAGCTCTTCCACACGTGGCCTGAGGCTCTCACCTCGGGCTCAACAGTGCCGAGGTAGGTATCACGGTGGATTAAAAATGGCTGCAAGGCCAGGCATGGTGGCTCAGGCCTGTAATCTTAGCACTCTGGGAGGCCGAGGCGGGCCGATTGCTCGAGGTCAGGAATTTGAAACCAGCCTGAGCGAGACCCCATCTCTACTAAAAAAAATAGAAAGAAATAAATACACAAAAATTAGCCAGGCATGGTGGCGCATGCCTGTAGTCCCAGCTGCTCGGGAGGCTGAGGCAGGAGGACTACTTGAGCCCAGGAGATTGAGGTTGCTGTGAGCTAGGCTGACGCCACGGCATTCACTCTAGCCTGGGCAACAAAGTGAGACTCTGTCTCAAAAAAAAAAAAAAATGGCTGCAAGTCCTTTGTCACTCTTTTGATGGAGAGATGGATTTCCCCTTCCCTTGAGTCTGACTGGTCCTGTCATTGACTTTGATCAATAGAATATGACAGAAGAATATGTTCCAAGTGAGACCTTAAAGGTCACAGTTTCCACATTTGCCCCTTTGGGAAGTCCCCCTCTTGGGAGCCAGTATGTAAGAAGTCCAGCTACCCTAAGACCACACCACGAGGAAGTCGCAGCTGGCCACCGGGAGAGACATACTTGGAGGACCCGTGGGGAGCGCCCAGACACCAGGCTGTGAATGCGTGTGCCTGGACCCGTCAGCCTAGCCCTGCCACCAGCTCAGTGTCGTTGAGGGGACGATCCTGATGACATCACACAGAGCAGAAGCACAGCCCAGCTGAACTCTGCCCAAGCTCCTCCTCCATAAGATCATGAGCAAATAAAGTATTCCATGCCACTAGCTTTTGGGTATTTGTCACAGAGCAATACACAAATGGGACAGGCATGCAGGAACTGTGGGGGAGGCTGGTTTCTCGGCTTCAGCGCTCATGACCAGGCAGGAGGCGGAGACAAGAACACAGCCAGAATTCCCT